TAGTTTTACATGTGAGAACATACTCACTGAAGACAAGTTCGTGCACGCCAGATTTCTGAAGTGCTTGTATCTCTGTCAGGTCATGCTTTACCAGACAGAAAATCATAATGCATAGCTAGGACTCCAGCAGTTATCGCAGCCTTCTTCCATTTTTTGGTCCCGTCTTTCCTCATCATGAAGCTTTCTCATCTTCCTCTATCCCAAAGACCTCTGAGGCTTCTGGAGGGAGCTAAGTTTGAGAAGCAACTTCTGCCAGTAGGAACTGAACCTAGTTGACAAGGTAAGTGAGACATTCTCATCCCAGCAGATCTCTAGGGTTAACTTTTGGAATGTCTGCACTGAAGATTATGCATAAGCCACACACACATGAACACAGAAAACTGCACGCAGCTCTTACCGGAAGGGAGGCTCTCCTTTCACTAAGGGATCGTGTTTGACGTTTCTTGTGGCCTCTACTCTCTTTCTCATTCTCATCAATCAAGCTGTGGCCCCAGAAACTGCTCATCCATCTTGCAAAGGAAATATCATCATCCTCTTCATATTCCATGTACAGACACTCCAAATTTGCAGCAGTCTCCCAGCCAGACAAGGAAAAGCAGTATCGAAGGCTTTCAGTAAGCCAATAGCCTCACACTGTTCTGTCAAGAGGAAGAGGAGATGCAGTTTCAGCCACTCTTTCTGCACTTCACCCCCCAAAGCCCAACCCACTGCAACCCTAGGCACTGTCTAAACATAAAATCAATCCTTTCTCATCTATTTTCAACAAGGTTTCTTTTAATCTTTCCATTGCAGAGATGTTCAGTGACAGTGCCGCAGGGAGCTGATAGGAAGGGAAATATGTTCTCTACTCCATATACATTGCAGTTGAGCGCATCAGCTGTCAATGCCAATGGAGAATTGCCCACAGTAACATGCCTGGAAGGCGTGTACTCTAACCCAAAGCAGGCTTGTGATTTTGAGAAGCAGAATTGACATATTGACAGTGGTCAGAAACTGGCACATCTGCCTGCAGAGGCCTAACTGACTTTGTGGAAGGCAGGACAAATAGCCCTCTTCATGCTGCCCTTGCTGCTGATCTCTGTTGCCTCTGTGCTTCCTTTTGGTGTCTAGGAAATATGGTCTCTCTGGAACAAAGGCTCTACTGAGAAAATAGTTCATTTTTGGATTGTGGCATGATGCGTGAATGTGCATCGTTTGCTTTTCACCAAAATAGTTTCATCTGTTGTATCTGCTTTATGATGGGCCCGGCTTGAGCACACTGAACACAGAGTAGGAATGAGTCTGACCTCCTAACCAAGCACTGGGTGTAGACTATTGACTGTGTCTACACCGTAAAACAGAACATAGTAGGGGACTGTTCCTCGTTCCTGAGACCAAGTGGCTAAATTGGACTCATTCATTCTACACTACATTTTTGTGCTACCAGTATCTTGTTATAATTTTGTGGCTTTTATTTTAAATTTCAGCATAGCTGATGTAACCTGAAAACTCTGTTTGTAGCACATTAAAATGTTGTTTGTAAAACGTGAAACTGAAGTATGTTACAGTGTTACATGCCTTGGAACACAGATGAAGGAAATGAAGGAGTGTTTAGAGGATGTGGAACCTCTTGGAGTAACTGTGGAAAATTGCGTAGGAGAAAATACATAAATCTATCTTCCTATTGGAAGCATTGGTGTGTGCTAGGTAGCCAAGTGTTCTCCTGATGCTTTGATATCGTCTTGGAGATATTAGTCAGCACTGTCCAAAAGTATACCGAAAAGCTTACTAGCAGTTTAGCATTATGTGCAATCAATGATACAGCAATAAACCTTGCCTCTTGTCTCTAATCTATTTAGCAGTATACGGATGTAGTAGCAAAACTCTAGCTTCATTCAAGTGGGTGTAGATGTGAGACTTAAGCTCTCCCAGTACCATAAATCAGATGTAGTACTCTTCATTCTGAATAATACAGGTGAAAGAACTGATTGGTAATAGATACCTGTGTGAGTTTTGCTTTGTCTGGGGCAATGAGACCATGTGTAGCACAGAAAACTGTAGAACATGGGTATACACACAGAATATCCTTGGATGTTGCACATTAGAGCGTAGAGTCATAAGCAAACGTGCAGCAGGATGTGCTCTTGGTGAAAGTGTGAAGGGATAGGGGTGACAAGAATACCTACAAAATGGCACAGTAAAAATACACCTGAGTAAAAAGAACATGTGGGCTGATTGTTCAAGTAGAGAAGAGTACTCCAGACCATATTCTGAGAGCCTAAATTTTTCTGCACACCCTGAGGCTACAGGAAAGGTATATGCAAGGGACTATCCTGGGTCATAAAAGACAACATGTGGCAGAAATTCAGACCATCCTGGTAGGAAACTATCAGCCTGTAGATATGCCACTTGTACTGTATGGCATAAGGTTCTTCCATCCTGTTACATAAAGTGCGAAGTGCTTCTGCTGTGCTGAAACAGCTGATGGAAAAATGAGACAATCCCACAGTTTTGGCAAAGTATACTTAGGCAAATTACGATAATTCACACATGGAAAGAGCTGTTTATTACCAGGCACCAAGACATACTGAGCGTCCAGCAGGACAGCAGATCACACCAAGCAAATTACCAGGGCTCCATGAGAGATGGGAAGAGTGGGAAATAAAAAAGGAGCCGCTGCTGCAGCTGAATGAATAAACCCTGTAGCAAACAGGAGGCCAGGATGTCCTGGTGCTCAGATCATCAGCACTCAGGGCAAACCCAAACTCACTTTGGAAAACATTAACAGGGCTTTGAGGTGTTTGCCTCACAACCATGCCATTGTTTCTGTTTTCAGCACTTTTTTCTTCCTTCATAGTGCTACGTGTGCTTATTGCTCTCTTCAAATATCTGAAAGGTGATTGCAGCAAGAGCAGGTCTGGTCTCTTCTCACTGATGACAGGTGACAGGATGAGGGGAAATGGCCTCAAGTTGTACCAGGGGAGGTTTAGGTTGTATATCAGGAAAAACTTCTTTACAGAAGGGGTTGTTAAGCACTGGAATAGGCTTCCCAGGGAGGTGGTTGAGTCACCATCCCTGGATGTGTTTAAAAATCATCTGGATGTGATGCTCAGGGACATGATTTAGTGGTGGGTTGATAGAGTTAGGGTAGTATGGTTAGGTTGTGGTTGGACTTGATGATCTTTAAGGTCTTTCCAACCTGAGAAATTCTATGATTCTATGATTCTGATTCTATGTCTTCACTTCTATTCATTTTCCTTCCCACTTGCTAGGAAATTTTTGCTATGTGATGACAAGCACTACCCGAGCATGACATGGGACCAGGGGCAGCTTCTCCATATCATGAGCTGAATTCTGCAGGGTAAGTGGAGATAGGAATGTCAGTTTTCCCTTCCTATCGATAAGTGTGCAGAGTTGACATAGTCACATGAATACACAACAGATACACAGTTCCAGTATTGCATATTTAATGATTCCCATGACAGATTCAGTCAATAACTTTAAAAAGAAGCGGTTACACTGCCGTGGTTACCTGGTCTAAAGTGAGGTGTCCCTGCCTATAGCAGGGGATTGGAACTAGATCATCTTTGAGATCATGTTCACCAAGTGGAGGCCGTGCTCAACCAACCTGGTGGCCTTCTATGATGTTGTCACATGCTGGGTGGATGGGGGGAGAGCGGAAGATGTAGTCTACCTTGATTTTAGAAAGGCATTTGATACTGTCTCCCACGACATCCATATAACAAAGCTGAGGAAGTGTGGGATAGACAAGTGGACAGTGAGGTGGGCTGAGAACTGGCTGACTGGCAGAACACAGAGGGTCGTCATTGGTGGTGCAGAGTCTGGCTGGAGACCTTTAACTAGCGGTGTTCCTCGGGAGTCAGTGCTGGGTCTGGTCTTGTTCAACATCTTCATCAGTGACCTTGATGAGGGGACAGTGGCCACCCTCAAGTTTGCTGATGATACGAAGTTGGGAGGATTGGCTGACACGCCTGAAGTCTGTGCTGCCATTCAGCAAGACCTGGAAAGGCTGGAGAGCTGGGCAGTAAAAAACCAGATGAGATTTAACAAAAGCAAGCGTAGATCTTGCATCTAGGGAGGAATAATTGCATGTACCAATAAAGGCTGGGGAATGACCTGCTGGAGAGGAGCTCTGCAGAGAGGGACCTGGGTGTCCTGGTGGATGACAGGTTGGCCATGAGCCAGCAGTGTGCCCTTGTGGCCAAAAAGACCAATGGCATCCTGGGATGCATTAAAAAGAGCGTGGCCAGCAGGTCAAGGGAGCTGTTTCCTCCCCCTCTACTCTGCCCTGGTAAGGCCTCATCTGCAGTACTGTGTTCAGTACAAAGAAGACAGGGATCTCTTGGAAAGAGTCCAGTGCAGGGCCACAAAGATGGTGAAGGGCCTGGAGCATCTCTCCTATGAAGAAAGGCTGAGTGAACTGGGTCTGTTTAGCCTTGAGAAAAGACGACTGAGAGGGGATCTAATCCAGGTCTATAAATATCTAAGGTGTGGGGGGCAGAGTGGTGAGGCCAATCTCTTTTCAGTGGTACATGGAGACAGGACAAGGGGAAATGGCCGGAAGCTGCAGCATAGGAAGTTCCGCACAAATGTGTGCAAGAACTTCTTTACAGTGAGGTGACGGAGCACTGGAACAGGCTGCCCAGGGAGGTGGTGCAGTCTCCTTCTCTGGAGATTAAGACCCGCCTGGATGCCTACCTGTGCGACCTGCTGTAGGGAACCTGCTTTGGCAGGGGGGTTGGTCTCGAAGATCTCTGGAGGTCCCTTCCAACCCCTACGATTCTGTGATTCTGTGTGATTCTGTCCCTTCCAACCCGTACCATTCTACGGTTCTGCGATTCTAGGACCGCGCTGCACAGCATCTGGGGTCCTCCTAGCCGGCAGGCGGCGCTGTGGGCCGAATAGACCGGAAGTGCTCTCCCGCCCCGCGCTCTCCCGGCCTCCCCGCGTGTCCGGTGACCCCGTCCCTTCCCTCCCACAGGCGGCTGTGTGGGCGAGTCATGGCCGCCTCGAAGCCCGTGGAGGCGCCGGGCGGCGGCGGCTCCGGCACGGGTCTGTCCCGCTGGCAGCTTGCTTTAGTGCTGGGGGCGCCCATCCTGCTGGGCGCCGGCGCTGTCTACCTGTGGGGGCGGCGAGCGGCCCGCCGCGGCGGGAAGGGCGCGAGCGAGCGAAAGACCCCCGAAGGGCGGGCCAGCCCCGGCCCCTATGGCGGCGGCGCGCAGCCCGATGGGCCCGGCCACGAGGAGATGGTGAGCGCGTGCCGCGGCCGTTGGCGCGGCCACTCCCCTGGCACGGCCGTTGGGGTGGGGGGAGGGGACAGGCGTCGTGCCTAACGGCCGGGCCAGGGTTAGCCTTCGTAGAAATGCTGTCGAAGCTTGCGTTTATCCCGCCGTGAGTGACTTTGCTGAGGGTTTTCAGGCAAAACTCCCCAGAAGTTGAAGGGCGATTTCAGAATCGAAGTCAGAATCAGATGCGCGGTTCCCTTGTATACCTATCTGTGGGAGATATTTCTGCCGTTGCTTCCCGTGACTGTATCCGCAGTCACAGGTGTACTGTGACACTCGTGTCGTGCTGCTGGGAAGTTGCAACTGGTAAACACATCTCCAGCGTTACATCTGGCAGCGTGCTTGAGTGGGAGAGCAATCGGTGCTCTTGTTTTAGTTGTGCTGAAGTTCTTGTTGGCGTACAGCAGCTAGTTTTAAACTCGGCTGACTGGAGCTAGCTTAGAGCCACGCTGCCATTGTTAAGTAAATCCCATTAAGGTATTCCTACGTCTTTTTTTTTTTTTTTTTTTTTTCCCTTTCGTTCTTGTAAACGACCTAGATAATCTGTCCTGGTCTGTGTGTAGTGAGAAAACTGTTTAGGAGGTACGAGAAGGTAATTTTTAATCCTTAACACTTCAGTGATAAAGGTTAATGTTCTGTGAGCGATGGACCGGCAGTGAGGGGAACACAAAGGAGTGGTGGAGAAGGTGACAGCTTCACAGATAGGCCATGATAGAACTGCAGTGAGCTATAAAACCTTTGCTGGACCTGGAGGCAGTCATTTGGGTATAATGATTTGTTCTGAGCCAGCGATGCACAGAGGACTACTTTGTTGTAGTAGGCTGCAAACAGCATCTGGTGCTCCTGTGACTGTTTACTACAGGTGAGCTCCAGTTTTTAGGCTACCTGTGCACTTTGTTCAGTAGCAGTGATTTTTCTGTTAGTGTACGTTAGCTCTGCATTACTTGATTGTATTTCTGGATTTCAGTGTATACTGTCAAGTAGTTTGTAGTCATTCCGTTGTTGAATGTGAAGCAAGAAATATCTTTTATGTAAACAGCTTTTTTTTGGTTTGAAACATTGAGTGTCTGCCTCTTTCAAATTGCTCCCCAAAATAACTTGCTGTTGGACTCTGTGCATCTAACAGTAAGTATATGGTTGAATGGTATGACCCAGAGTTACCTGATGAGTGTCATTGTGTAGTGCAACAAAATGATGAACATTACTTAGGAAAGCAGAAGAAGGTGGTATCAGATTTGCCTGATTACATGTGACAGTGGACTAGCTGGTCTAAATACGGCTGCTGCAGAGCAATTCATGTGGCAGCTGCTTCCCTCCGTGTGTATGGAAAGGGTTGTCTTCGTGTTCATCATGTCCAAAGATATGATGTCGTGTAGATGTCATGTTTCCTCACATTTTATTAGTTATGGATACCATTGGTAGGACTCTTGATTCAAAATACGATCTTTGCAGATGCTTTACTTATTAACTATCTGCTCTGCATTGTATTGGTCTACCTTTCTAATAAGTTGGGATAAGTCAGATTTTGAATATAGATCTGTATGGGGATTAAGGCGTCAGTAATTCATTTCACAGCTTAAACACAAGTGGAAAGTCCTTTAGAAAAGACACTGGTTGGTAATGGATGGGCTACCAAGAGATGTATAACTGTTTGTCTGGTAACTGTTCTTTTACTTATGTATGCTGCTTAGGACTTAGATTATTTTTTTTTCCTTAAGAATTTATTTAAATCAGCTTCTGCATTCATTTGTTGTTCCATTTGCTGTTTCTGAAGGTACAACCTCAATTTATTATTTTTTTTTTCTGTTCTTTAAAAGTATCTAAAGTCTTCTTTATTCTTTATTTCCACTTATTACTATTTTGCATGCAGTTGAAGCTTTTGTTTTACCTGCTGCAGAAGCCTCGCATTTTTCTCCAGGTTGTGTCTGTGCTACAGGAGCCTCCTGGCATAGATGTAGTGGCTGACTGTGACTGGCGTCGTGTTGGCAGAAGCCCTTAGCACAGGTGCTATATTGGGAAAAGCTCCAAGAGTCTTGACATTGCTTCTTTTATAAGCTTAGCTCCTCAACAGTACAGTGAGCTGGTATTCTTTTACCAATTAAGCATTGATGATAAAAATGTATCTATGGATGTTCAAATAAAGGTCAGAAAACCATATTGCATCTGTTCGTTACCAGTGTTATCATTATGGCTCATAGTTTGGATGGAACGTGTTTTTACTACTCAGTGACAGTAATTGCTTTTTAGATGCTCCACTTTGTGGGGAATATTGGCATAACTTAAAATTGTTGCATTGGTTCATACTCAGTTGATTTGTGTTCTTTACTTACTCTGTGGTAACTTCTTAACAAGTTTGTCCTCCTTATATGAGACAAATGAGAGGAATCAGTGGGTAATTTGTTGGATGCTTCAGTATTTTTTTCCACTTAAGTTGAAACCGTTTCTTTAACAAATCTGTAATAGACCATATCTCACCCATTCACTATTTCATCAAGTTTGAGGCTAACCCTTTGCTTGATATGCCAGGAAGTATTGAGCAGTTCTGTCTGTTCTGTGGCAATGTCTTTCACAGACAAAGCTGCTTCAGTCCACAGCTGGACTTTGCTGTCAAGCACATTTTTGCTCAGTGTTTTCCTCTGAGCTGGGTATGCTTACTAGAGTGCAGTGCTGGGTGAATGTGACCAAGCTCGTTGGCTTGTGTGATGCCACATACCAGGATCAACAGCCAGCAAGCATGGCTTCTTTCCAGGATCTATTTTAATAGCATTTGCTGAATGTTACCTGTCTCAGTGCTGAAATGTTAAATCACTGTATAAAAAGATTTTGCCTTTGTCTAGATGTATTTGTTTTGGTACTCATTTTGAATTAATTTAAGCAAAAAGTGTAAGAAGTGTCTGTTGTATTGTCCACCTGTTGTGTAATAGATCTTATCAACCTACTGTGAGTTCTGTGTTTCATGTCAGCTGTAGGAGACAGGTGTAGAAAACCTAAATGCGTGTGTAATAGCGGTGGAACAATTGCTGGACTCCTGGCAGCTCAGGCAGCTCTCTTATTCATGGTAGGCATGGATGGCGCTCATTTAAAAGGAAGGTGACAGATGAAGAGCATTGACCACTTGTGCTGTAAGTTTGAACTTGATTGTTTGTAACACATCCTAGTTAGAGCTCTGAATTGGTAGCTTATATTTGTGGAATATTTATTCTCCCATTGTTTTTATTGCTAAGGAGAGTTTTAAAACCATTTATGCTTTAAAACCTTTCAGTGTGGTTCTGAGATAAGACTTGAAGTGAACATTAGTCAAAAAAAAAAAAAGGGAGGAAAGATGGATATTGAGTAGTAGTGAAAACAATACTTTTTTGGTGCCTGATCGTATCAAGAGGGCCATCTTGCTTGGAGAGGAAGAAAGAGGTGTATACCACAGTTTCTTTGGAAGCTGATGAATTGAGATGGATGGCTGGAGTATTAGTTCCCCTTCTCCGTGTTGTCTGTTAGCAAAGGGCTCATACAAATCATGCAAATCCTTTTCAGTCACAAGAAAATACTGAAACACGCCACTGGTGTTCCTTTTTCTAAACTCCTGCCATCATTGCTGGCAGCAAATTTCTCATCCTGCTTTAAAAAATGACATCCCTCAAACCCAACCGACTTGTAATTCATTTGTATCAGCATTGCTTGAGGTTGCTGTGCTTTCTTCATGCAGCTGCCTGCCTTTTGCCATGAAGTGGCTGCTGTTTGCATGGCAGTTTCTGAACAGTTTGTGAGGAGAGCACATTTGCTGAGGTCAGAGTAATAGTTAACAGACGTTGGCCCATGCTGCCTGGTCTTTAGAAAACTAGGAATTTGCTTATTTGGTTAGCTAGATAACTGATCGCTTCTCAAATACACAAGTGTCCTCTGGCTTGAAGTCTAGGTTTTAAGACTTGTAGTGAACAGTTGCTAAAAGCAGTCCTAAATTCAGAGATGTGGTTGGGTTATTTTTTCTTTTTTTTTCAAGTAATTTCCGAGTTGCATACAAATTCTGAAACGTTGTCAAGATATGAAAAGAAGCATTTATTTTTACCGAGTTATATTTTGCTCATTTTATTGAGTATTTTGTAACATTACTATTATAGAGACACGTAAATGGTGGGTGTCAGGAGTGTGTATTAAACAGCAGAGTAAACCGTGACGCATGTCAAAAAATCACCCAGCTTTTGGCTGTAATGGAAAATCCATACTTTGTTTTGGTGTGGCTGTGTCAAACATCTGTATGACAACCCAGTTCAGGTCTTAAAAAAATCAATAGTAAGAAAAATTGTACTCTAGAGGAGATGTGTTAGTGAAAGTTACTGTAATTGCTGCCTTTATGTTGGCACCTGTGGTCCTATGGCTCTGCGGTGAGAACACCCAGGAAAGTCCTACATTCTCTGTGTCTGCAGTGTGTCAACCTGAGATCTCCTTGCTGAAATAATAGTATTAATGCCCTGAAAGTGTATCTTCTGTCTTTTGATGGGACCAAGTGCCACTGGTGAGAATGAAATAAAACTCCCTTCTTGTGAAGTGGGGAGTAGAAGGAAGCCTTGTGGTTTATAAGCTCCGGGGCTTTGAGAAGTAAATGTGCCATTTTTGTTATTTCTATTGCACACTCTGTATACGGTTTGTATGGGATTTGTTTTTCATGGGGACGGGATGGTAAACAACTGTTTTTTGTATAAATCCCTATCAGATATATGTATTCATGATACAGAGCTGTATCAGCCCGAGTGTAACGTGGCAGCCATTTGAGAATGGTACATTGTGAGTGTAGAGAGAGCTATAGCAGAATAATGTGACAAAGGTTGCAGAGATGTGACCATTCATGAGTTAGGAATCTTGCTTGCTTCAGGCAGTACAAGAAAAAAGTTCATTTCCTTCTTGCATGGGCATTATTAATGGCTTTATTACATGGCAGTATGTTATGTTGTTCTCTGACTTGGGCCCTTCCACCCCCAAGTTACTTGCCTCATGTAATGCATGAGGCAGTGAGTGATCACTGAATTGTCTTTTCCTTGTAGCTCACTGTATATTATTTGGCTTTACTGCTATTAATCACGCCTTGTTCTGGTAACAGCTACTGATTTTGAAGGTTTTCCCTTTGGCATCTTGCCCATATTCTCCAGTGCCCCAGTCCCTGTTGCATACACTTAAGCTTTTCTGAAGGCTTGATGATTTCCAGGAGCCAGCAGAGCACCCCAGAACTAGATTTCTTGCTATAGGATATGGGTCAGAGCAGTGGAGCAGCCATTGCACCTGGCTGTTACGCAGCTGTCATTTGTGGCGTGTCCCATGGCAATGGCAGCGCAGTGCAGGGCAGTCAAAGTGCGTGGGATGGAGCAGACGGAGCGGGCAGCCTGCGATGCAGGTTGGGGTGGTACATCCCTGGGCTAAGGGATTTGGCAGTGACCACAAGTTAGCAATTTATCAGTCTTAAGAAGTTTTGATATAGGGGACAGAGGTCTGAATGTTACAACATGACTCACTTGTCCTGGATGTTTTTCTGTTTGATACTGGGTGACTTGGAACTATTTCACAAGGATATTTGTAGAAATACAGAAGAAAGAAAATCAAGCTGACTTCTGTGCATTTAAATTTGTTTGTTTCATGTATTAGTTGTATGAGAAGCAGGAGTTGAAGGAAAAAGCCATACTTAGAACATACTTGAAGTAAATGTAACCTTCCCTTCAGATTTAGGTCTAATTTTTTAAGTAACAATTGATCAAAAATACAATTTTTTGGTTCCTGTAGAAGAATTTGCACTCCAATTCTAGTTTGTGTATCCACGCAGTTGAAAACAATGAGTGGAAAGGGTTGCAGTTAATCATCTTTTACCAGCTGGAATTTAAATCACTGAAATAAAAACTTAGTGGTGCAGATTATTTTGTTCTGTGAGCAGTGGAGATGGCACAGATGGCATTCCTGTAAGCCTAGTGACTGGTGAGGCGTTACTGAAGAGCTTTGCTGGCAGTAGGGATATTTAAAAAATACTCTTCCTTATACGGTTTCATTGGTAAGTCTCTCCCCAGGAGAATGCCTGTAGAATATTTCTGTAATATCTGAACACTTTTTTTTTTTTATTGGAACTTAAGGCTGGCACCCACTGTCTGATGTTTCTCATGCCATGGTTGAAAACCAGGCTTTAGAAGAGGCCTGTACTGCAACTCCTAGCCTTCCCTTCAAGTTTCCAGTTTTAAAAATCGTTTAGATGCTAAAAATGGTCAGACTGGCATCAAATAAGCAGACATCAGGGCAAATGGGCTGATGAAAAGATGCTTTGAAGTGTATGTGACAGCAGTCTGGGTGTAGTTGGTGATGCTGGCAGCGAATGAGAGGCACAATGAGAGACAAGTATGGTTTCTGGTTGTCAGCAGGCCCGAGGTGATCTATTCAGCAAGTGAGAACTAGCGAATCCTGCAGCTGTTATTTAAGGCATTACTGTCCCCAGTTTTGTACACTTTCCCTCCTCAGAGGGGTTGATCAAACGGCTTGTGTGTTCAGACCTCTGTTTGTTTCAGTCTGGTAGGCCAGTCTGATGTGACCCACTGTGTTTATTGCGGAAGGTAGGCTGGGGAAGTCTAGATAAGCACTAGGATCTTCTGCAGCTCTGAGTGTCTTGAATATGAGTCATAGGCCTTTGATGAAAGCCCTTTTTACATCTCGTTCATCATAAGCTGTGTTTATGATAACCAGTTTGGGAGTTACATGCACAGGTTTCCTCACAAACACAGGTGATCAACGGGCAGCGCACAACGTAGAGATTCATTTAGCAAGGTCACAGGCTGGGTAGCGCAGAGTTTTCCATCATCTGCTAAGAATGACAGAACCGTGATGGTTCAGCACTTTCTATTAGCGGATGGATGAGCAGGTTGTGTAAGGCTGCGAAGTTCATTAGCCCGGTGGAAGGGAGACAAAGCAGTTGAGTTTTTCCAGAAAGTGTTTTTCTTAGTTCACGTTCTACTGAGTCAACTCTGATCTCACGGGCTGTATGTATTTCAGTAGCAAACTTTTCCTATTTGAATTGCTTTGAGGGCTTTGTGGTCTTCACGCACTTGTCTTTGGAGAAGTATCTCTCAATTTCAACAAGAAATCTCATTGGTTCTTCTGATCACCAGTCACAGTAGATTAAAACTTGTCCCTTTGTAGTGAATCTTCTAGCAGCTTGTCTGCTATTTCATATGGTTGCACCTGAAATTGTTTTTTTTGTTCCCAATGAAAGGGAAGGGAGGTTTTCAGAAGTCCAGGCTATAATTTAACACAGACCTCCATTGTATATTTTTGAAGATGGACCCTTAAGTACCTTGCTTGTGAGGAGCAAAGCTTTTCTTACTCAAACTGACCAATCACTGTTTTTCCTTCTCTTTTTTTCAGAGCCCTCTTGATAGAGCCCAAGCAGCCAAGAACAAAGGAAACAAATATTTTAAAGCTGGAAGATATGAGCAAGCCATTCAGTGTTATACTGAGGCTATCAGCCTGTGCCCTCCTGAGAGAAATCTTGATCTTTCTACCTTCTACCAAAATAGAGCTGCTGCCTATGAACAGCTGGTAAGAAAGTAGTGAATTATGTTTATTCTAAAAAGTTGAATTTTAAATTATGTATACTTTCACTTTTGTCCACTGAAAGATCCCAGGTGGTGATATGGGCTGCATTCACAACAAGATGCCATTGCTTGCAGGTGTTTTTGTCTTGTTTGTTGTGCTATTTCACATACAACTCAAATAATGTTCTGTTAACTGGAGTCTGTCTTAGGTGATTCTTAAGTACCCCTCTCTTATAAGACAGGGTTTTAATTTCTTACCCTCTGGAATAACTTTCTTGTTTACTTGTTAGTTTTGTTTCTCTTTACAAGACCATTGCTTTAACTGTTGAGTGAAAGGCCTAATATTTCAGGGGATGCCACTTCAAAAATGAAATATCACAGAGCGTCTACTAAGGCCCAAGCTCTAAACTTTGCACATGTCGAAGTAATTACTTGGTAGCTGTGCATATGTGATATTAGTTTTTAGAAATGAACTGACATGTGTTTTTCATTATGATATCAGTAGATTTGCTTCTAAGGTCAAGTTGGTAAGCTGTATAAAGGAATGGAAAAATTGGCTTTATGTAGTCTGGAGTATCAAGTTAGAAACAATGATTAAGAAAAGAAGGCTTGAACAGACTTTTTGGCAGGATCTGAGGCAATAGAACAAGGGGAAATGGCTTCAGGCTCAGGGAGGCTAGATTTAGGTCAGATAAAAGGGAAAAATCTTTTACAGTGGGGGTGATGAGGCATTGAAACAAGTTGCCTAGTCTTGTGGTAGATGCCCCATCCATGGAGACTTTCAAGGCGAGGCTGGATCAGGCACTGAACAACCTGATGTAGCTGTGGTGTCCCTGCTCAGTGCAGGGGAGTTGGACTAGACGGCCCGCAGAGGTCCCTTCCAACTCTTAAGGACTCATTAATTCTGTGATAGAGGATGGATAAAATTGTTTCTTTTTTAATGAAGTACCATTTATAATACTAATTCACGCCATAATTAATGGCTGACTAAAAAATGTACGTGGTTCTTTTTCAATTATTAGAAAAGCCTCTTTTGATCATTAATTTTGAATCGTAGAATGGTTTGGTTTGGAAGGGACCTTTAAGGTCACCTAGTTCCAACCCCCTGCTATAGGCAGGGACACCTCCCTCTAGACCAGTTTGCTTGAAGTCCCACCCAGCCTGGCCTTGAATGCTTCCAGGGAGGGGGCATTCATAACCTCACAGAAGATAAGTGCATTTTTAGTTTTTAATAGTCATAGCCAGTTCTGCTCCTACATATGAATTTATCATTCCTTTGTAGTAAGTGTAGTGAATTGCAATATCAAATCAAAAACTAACAAACAAACAAAAGCAAAAAAATGAGTGAAAAAGACACCCCAAAACTATCAGTTTTAGTACTTTGTTGAACTTGTTTGTTGATTTTCCTTGTGTTTTCACCCTTTTTCTTCTGTTGTATGTGTACCAGTCTTTCAGTTCCAATGTTACTTCCTGCGAGTATCTGCATCTTCTCCCATATGCTTTGTACAAAAACTGTCTGGTTTCATTTTTCTGTGGGAATTGCTTTTCTGTTTTGTGGCTCTTCTGGTGCAGGTGGCTTCCAGTGGCTCCTGGCAGTTTCTTACTGAGAAACTTGCAGAAATAGAAGCCAGCAGGTAGAACCAGAGCCCTGGGAACTGCAGCTACTGTTAGGTGGGCATGAGCCTCGAGTTGGTAGCAGAAAGCTTACATTATGCAGCTGAGTAGGGCTTCTTTCATCGTGTTTTTCTGCCCACAGCAAAAATGGACAGAAGTGGCACAAGATTGTACAAAGGCTGTGGAGCTTAATCCTAAATATGTGAAAGCTCTCTTCAGACGTGCAAAGGCTCATGAGAAGCTAGACAATAAGAAGGAATGCTTAGAAGGTGAGTGTCTCTTGATACGTGTACTTAATAGTGCTCAGACACTTTGGAGATGATTAAACTTACATAATAATAATTATTTTTTAACTTCTTGTAACTACAGTAACCCCTAAATATTTTTAAATGCCATTTATAGTTATAACAGATACATTTTCTTCTCTTTTGAGAAGAAATATTTTACTGTTTTTCAAGTTTAGATCTGAAATAACTGCTGCAAAATAGATCTTACTGTAGCCACATCGGGTATTCTTTGTCCAGGAAGCTCCCTATCTATTGAAACAGAACTCATACAATATGTTGGGTATATAACACAGGCTACAATCTTTCTAATTCTGCATGGTAACAAAGTTTCTTGCTTTTAGAAAGAAAGTTCCAAAAACAAGGTGTTTTCACAGGTGGAGGTGCTTAGTCAGAGACCAGTGTTACAGCCCTTTAAATGCGCCTGGCAGGTGTAAAAAGGAATACAGTTTCAGTACCATTTTTTTTCCTGATACAGAGGAGGCAGATTGGAGTAGATTAGAATAAAAATCGTTTTTTTTTATGTTAATGATGTGTATTTGGCAGAATCTGCTGTGTTAAACTCTTGCAATGCTGTTCTCCTGATGCAAGATTAAAAGGCAAATGAATTTTCAGCTGAGCCAAGTACTATAATAACATCAATGACCTTACAGAGTTGGAATAAACAGGTTATAAAAGCCCTAAGAATGGGCTGCTGTTCTGATAGTATGACTCTCTTAATCTGTTAGAAGCAGCAGTGTTTGTAATAATTACATTCGGTGGTTGATTTTTAGCTTGCAATTTGCTATGCATCTATTAAATTCTTTTTTTTTTTAATCTGCCAACCATATATGGGCAATATGGTCTTTGGAAATAGAGTATGTTTGTGTAATGGAAGGAAGCAGAAACAAAACAATCTGCCACCACTGGTAAAAACCCCTCTCCACTGATCCATGGTAGTCTGGGAAGATGTTGATGCCTCACTCAAGCCTGGGCACTAGTTTACAGCTTGCCTATATTGGGCAAAGCGTCTCTGCCGGGCACTTAAAGTGGCAGAGTATGGTATTACTGCATATGCTATGATTGTGCTGTGTTTTTCCAGGGGCTCTTGCATTTCTTGACCATGCCCAAGTTACAGGGAGTTGTGCTGCATAGCAGTGTAGTATTACAGAAGTTAGACATAAACTCCAAGGTAGGACACTTGCTTTTCAAGTTCATTCAAACAAGACAGGGTTTGAATTTCAAGTCCAAACTGTGCTCATCTTCACTTAATAACCTCATTCGTGGGATATTGTATCTGAGGCCTCTGATAAACCTCTTTTGTTGATTTTGTTCTTCATGTATTTCCATTAATGGAACAGCAGTTTAACTAGAAAATAAATAGAAAGTATCAATAGTAGCATTGCATTAATTAGAAGAAATAAGGATAATGTACCATGAGAGTGCATTTAACACTGCAAAGCATTATTCAGGCATCAATGGGTTAACATTTTCAAAGGCTCTGAGTGAATGAAAGTGATAGGAGTTAACACTTCCAATGTGCTAGCGAGATGCATCTTTTAAAGTTGCTTCTTTCCCAAGGCACAGAGGTAGGCAGAAAAAAATGGAAATATAATATGAGAAGATTTCTTGAAAGCTGAGAAAGGAGTGAGACATGAACAAAAAGTGAGGTTTAAAAGCAGAAATTTATGTAGAGGATTATGACCAATTCCAGATGACAAACCACTTTGGTTCTTTTAATATACACAGGTTGTTAATTACTATTCTTAACATTTCAAAATGTTGAAAGCCCCTGCTAGATGTATGAATTTTTACTATTTGTCTATGTGTGAAGTCATAAAGATTAAAAATAGTAAAAATGATAATTTCCTTCATTTGCTGTTATTACAGGACATGTGTTAGTTTGAGAATAACTCACTGTACTTGTGGCACATTTTAGTGCTTAGTAATTATCAGAATTGGTTGATAATCTCAATTTCTGTGTTATTTCTTAGATGTCACTGCAGTCTGCATTTTAGAAGCCTTCCAAAACCAGCAGAGTATGTTATTAGCTGATAAAGTTCTCAAACTCCTTGGAAAAGAAAAGGCCAAAGAGAAATACAAGGTAAGGCTTGTGATGCTGCTGACAAATGCTAATTTCACTTGACTGTTGAAACAGCATTTGTTGATATTCTGGTGACTGTTGCAAGTTTGTCAGTGTCTTCACAAGACTAGTATGTCACCGTTGTTTTATGTTGGGATCTGATCAAACAATATGAAACCTTTGTAAGAAGAAGGGCCTATTTCTAACAGTCAAGTTGTTTCCTTGTAATAATCAAAACTATGATGGTTTTCAAGAGACTTCCTGAGCTGATGTGCTGCCTTACTTCAGCTTTTCTGGACTTGGAAGATAATGGATGTTAGAACAACAGCAGTCAAGTATTCAGTTGCACGTCAGGTGTTGAGATAAGAAAGTTTATGAACAATACACGAAAATGGGTAAAAAACTTTGTTATGTAATGACTAGCTTAAAATGAGAAGGATGATAATAGAGGAGGTTTTACCCCTAGGTTATTCTTGGCTTTGTAAATAGAAATTTCATGCAGGAAGGATTAGGTTGACAGTGGAATTTCTGGATTTTAGAAAGTGGTTAAATAGTATTGTTGGTTTGGGTGGGATTTTTTTTTTTCTTAAAACCAAAAAACATCGCTGAAAAAAAATGGTGCAGAGCAAAATCTCATCCTTTTATCCATAGTCAGACTTCCTGATTCTGTCTTGAGAAATACGATTTAATCCCTCACAAATTATTTGCAACAGTCACTGTTCTTCTGATTCATTTATGTAAATGGGTGCTTACACTTGTACTTTTCTATTTGGACGCTCAGATTTCTTTGCATAAGTGTTTGGAAACTGCAGCAGCAAGAATTGTGGAAGTATAGAGGTAGCCTGGAAGAGTCATTTTAAGTGGCCTTTTTGGGCATATGTTAAATTTTTCTAGCTTGTTATTTGTGATTATAGTTCACCTACTGAAATGCTCATTGGCTTTGAGATGCTGAATTTCTTTTCTGTCGAAACTTACATAGTTGTGTGACATCGAGGTAACAAAAAGAAAATCCTCCTTTTAGTATGATAGTGGTAGCATCATAAAACAGATGTTCTTTCTGTCAGGAGTATTATGACTGAATTTAATAGAGAGGAGTGTATTCAGATTTCACTTGCAGGAAAGATTGAATCGTAATTCTCTTTTGTAAAAACTTTTTATGGCTGTGCAAAGGATTTTGCATTCAAGGTGTTATTTCTCATGCTTCAGGTGAAACATTTGGTGTCTGGGCCAAGCCCCAAGTAAGAATTAGGATATTGCCATCTGATCTTACAATCTAGTGAAATGACATTGTATTTGTGTTTCAGAATCGTGAGCCTCTGATGCCCTCGCCACAGTTCATTAAATCCTATTTCAGTTCTTTTACGGATGATATCATCTCCCAGCCTTTGCTTAAGGGTGAGAAATCAGATGAGGATAAGGATAAGGAGGGAGAGGCTTCTGAAGTAAAAGAAAAGTGAGTGTACAGTACAGTTGGAAATTGTTTGCTGTTGAAACTGTTCTTAGTGATTTTGATGTGCTTTTCAGTTTAAGTTGCTGTTATTTTACAGTACCTGCCCGGGGAGATCCTGTGGTAATAAAATAAACCTATGAAGTAAAATCTGTATTAAGAAGGAAACTAGGAGGGCTGACTGGCTAATTCCAAACTGCAGATGTCTTTGATCTCTTACACAAAGGAAGTGAAAAATGGGGCAGACAAGCCAAATATTTTCTAAAATACTGTGATAGAGAGTAAGAGAAAACTAGAAAGTACTGAAAGTGGCTCCTGAAGAAGGGAATATGTTATGCTGAAGGAGAATTCTGAAGGAAGAGAGCAAATCATCCTCTGGATTGAAAGGGAGAAGGAAGAGCTCAGAAAAAAACCTGTCTATTGATGAGAACTGAATAACAGCAACTGAGGCTGAAAGGATATTTGTGTTTTTAGAATCAAATTCCTCATAAACAAGTTTCATTCTGACAAAGAAAAGCTTGAGTGCTTTTGCACTTACTTTTTTTTCTGAGTGAAGTTTGAGCGCTAAGTAAATGGGGCTTTGACTTACTGTGCTGTTTCCAGTTGATTATTTGGAAGATAACCACTGCTGTCAATATGGAGACCATTGCAAACAGCACAATGAACTTTTAAAATCAGGATAGAATGGCCTGATATTCAGGCAGATTCAGTGAATCCAGAACATGTAGCTGAGAACAAGGCAGCATTTACTGTAATTTTTTTAAATCTGAAATCCATTCTTCCGCGTATAAACTGCACGTTGCTAGGTTCACTGTTCATTTTTCTGACCTGCTGTGCCATCTTAGCCCTTCCGTTTTAAAGTAGAGATTCACACAGTCCTTAATGTGAAAAACATTCAAGGGACAAATGAAGCAAGTAGGTGAAAAAAAAAATAAATCTTTCTTTCCAATGTTACTGTGGCATTTTATGTCTGAATTGTTCTGGATCTGTGATGGTTCTGCCCAGGGATATTTGTTACTTTACTTGTAATGCTAGTGTTATAATTTAGTATAGCAGAAATTAGTTTTAAAGAAAAGTCTGAATTGAAATTGCAGTGTTCAGTGAATACAACTGTTCTTACATCATTTACAGCTCTGGCTATTTGAGAGCAAAACAATATATGGAAGAGGAGAACTATGACAAAATTATCAGTGAGTGCACAAAAGAAATTGAAGCAAAGGGAAAATACATGGCAGAAGCTTTGCTTCTGCGAGCTACTTTCTACTTACTTATTGGCAATGCAAATGCTGCCAAACCAGACCTAGATCAGGTCATCAGCATGGAAGATGCAAATGTGAAGGTAAGAATCTGTCACAGCTGGATTGAAGTTTGGGTTGAGAAAACATATGTTAGATAATAAATTTGAAGTATAGCTCTGACCTTTCTTTCTTTTTTTCCAAGTTTTGAAGTGCTTTAATGGAAATGTTTTAGTTTCTCTTACTGTTTTGTCTTTTTTTTTTTCCTGACAAATAGTTTTTTCAAGGGGTTATTTCCAAAACATCTGTGCTAAGTGATAGAAACAAAAGAACAAAGGAAGCTAAATCAATTAAAGGCTTATGCAATCTGAAAATTAAGTTAATAAACAAGAAGACATTAATTACAGTTGCATATTGAACTGCTAAAAATGCTGGTTAATTTGTATGCATAGGGAAACCATCTTTGAATTAATTTCTTGGGGGGGGTGCAAATCCTATGAGATGGAAGCATAAGATGATATATTTGAAACTAGATGAAGGAATTTACTTGTTTTATACTCAATGTGAAGTTTATTCCTTCTTTAGAATGAATGATATCTGTCTGTAGGAGAAAGCAGTCACTTGACAAGTTTAGTGTAATTGTAACAAAGACCTAAATTGGGAGGAGTGTTGGAGTGGTTAATACTTCTTGGAACTTGCTTTTTTTTACAGCTCCGAGCTAATGCTCTGATCAAACGAGGAAGTATGTATATGCAGCAGCAGCAACCTGCACTGTCCACTCAAGATTTTAACACAGCTGCTGATATCGATCCTCAAAATGCAGATGTTTACCACCATCGAGGACAAGTAAGAATCATTAGAGATTTTTGTCCCAATACTCAAATATTTCAGTGTATACTAAAAGAATAGTAAAGAGCTAGAAATGCCCATAGGCGTGGGCTGTGTATATACACAGTCTGAACTGTTTATGGTAGAAAAAGTTGAAGTCCTAATTTGGAACTGTTGCATTCAGATCTGCAGGTTGAGGTCAGGGAGAACTAGCTAATTGCTGTAGGAGACAATGCAGAGTAACAGAAGTTCAGCCCTCTGTCAATACGAACTCTGACTTGAAAGTGTTAGAGCTTATATATACTTAAACTGCTTTGTAAAGGGGCCTGATATGTCGGAGCAGTAGCTACTTGGAGGGAAACTTTGTTAGAACAAATGCAACCACCTGTTTTTGTTACCTCAGAATCTGCCTTGATACATAAAAAGCTTACAGATAGGGGCACAGCTAAAGCATAGACATTGAATGTTTTCTTTACCTATGTTTTTAACACTGGTGATGCTTTCTGGGACCCCAGATCCCTGAGTTGGAAGACCTTGACTGCAGTAATTCCAAGCCAACTCCACCTTGTTCCAGCTGTGTGCTTAGGATTCTATGGGGCCAGATTAGATTCACCCCAGGGTATTCCAAGAGCTGAGTGATGTTATCATAGGACCTCTCTGAATTATGTTTCAATGGTCTTGGACATTTGGAGAGATTCTGGTCAACTGGAAGCTGGTAGACTTTGCCCCAGTCTTCAAAAAGGCAAGAAAGAAGACCCTGGTAATTATAGGCCTATCAGTCTCACTTTGGTGCCTGGCAAAATTGTAGAGATTATTCTGGGAGTTACTGTGAACAACTGTAAAGCAGTACAGTCGTTGGTCACAGCCAACATGGGTTCTTGAGGGAAAGCCTTGTTTCATGAACTTAATCTCATTTTATAATGAAGTTACTCACTTAGCTGACCAAGGGAAACCAGTAGATGTCGTCTTTTTTATTTCAGCTAAGCTTTTGATACTGTTACTTGCTCACAGGTCAGGTTCAAAGGGTTACAGTAAATGTGGTTTTTAGATCAGGTTGATGTCCAGTCTGTAGTGGAGGTCCACAGGGCTCCATTTTAGAACAAGTTGTGTTTGGGATTTTTGACCGTGTAATCAGTGATTTGGATACAGAACTGAGAAGTATACTAAGTTTGTGAACGATGCTAAATTGACTCCCTTGAGGGTAGAGAGGCCATGCAGAGGGAGATCTTGACAAACTAGAGGGTTGGGCAGTTGTGAAGTTTAACAAGAATAAACACTGGATTCCGCAACTGGGATGAAGCAGCCCTGGATCTGTGTACAGACTGGGAAACAAGAAGCTGGAGAACTGCTTTGCAGAAAGGGGTCTTGGGGGTTCTAGCTGTCAGCAAGTTGAATGTGGTCCAGCAGCGTGTCCTGGCAGCCCAAAGAGCCAACTGTACCCTGGGGTGCATCAGGCCCAGCGCTGCCACCAGGCAGGGGGAGGGGTTGTCCTGCTCTGCTCTGTGCTGTGCAGCCTCTTGTGGACGAATCGGAATGTCAAAACACCAGTTGGGAAAGGCAAAATATTTTGATGTCTAGACAGTTCACAGGCATTAGCTGCAGAGAGGTAAAGTGACTTGAGAAAGTATGGAACAGTTTTGGAGACTGGACATTAAGCTCAAGCAATGATGACAATACGCCAGTCTAAAATGAAGGTGTTCTCAATCTCTGCACGTGAACGTTGCCTTTTTATGTATGAAGTCAATGTTTCATTGGTGGCCTTATTGTTTTATGACAGTAATTTTTTTTTACTCATGGTTTTTGTAAATTTCTAGATCTAAAACTGAACTGTGGACAATATGAATAACTGATGCTAATTGAATTATCACTTAAATGTACGAAGCACAGATTAAATACAGAAATAGGATTTTCTTTTATTCTGGTTAGCTGAAAATTCTGCTTGACCAAATTGAAGAGGCTGTGGAAGACTTTGATGAATGTATCCGATTGCGACCAGATTCTGCCTTGGCTCAAGCGCAGAAATGTTTTGCTCTGGTAGGTAATGTTATCTGGACACCCTGATTTTAAAGATTTCTTTTAAGCATACTTTGTTTCTCTGTTTTCTTCTGAGTTTATGGAAAAGTAGTGCAACAAACAATATATTACAATAATAGGGCAAGGAAATAATAATCTCTTCATTGGAATAAGGATTTAATATTATTTCACAGTGCTCATTATTTAACAGTAGGTTGCCTTGCCTGTATTGTGATCGAGAAGCAGAAATTTGCAATTTAACTGTATCACCCAAAGCTTTATTTAAGTCAGTGTTATGTAAAATGTTGATCTTCAAGAAGTTAGAAACTGTTTCAAGCTGCTGTAGTGTGTCTGCATGCAGAGATCTCCAGGGGTCAGCTTTGCATGGTGTGAGAAAGGAGCAGTTCTAAGCTTGTAATTTCTAGGCTTTTGAAGTAGAGGGAGGCTTTTGGCAACTATTGGGTCTCTCACCCTTTCTTCTATAGTAGTCCAGTTTGCTAGGAGGCTCAGAAACATAGTGGGTTCCTAAAAAGCAGGTTTGATAGGTGTCACCTCCTAGAACTTGGAATTGCTATGTCACACGCATCTCTTGGGGAAGTGAATAGATCTGATGAACCATATTTTTCTTACTGTTCTTTTTCTTTTTTCTATTTCCTTGAATAGTATCGCCAAGCATATACAGGGAATAATCCTTTGCCTGTGCAAGTGGCTATGAAAGGCTTTGAAGATGTCATTAAAAAGTTTCCAAAGTGTGCTGAAGGCTATGCTCTTTATGCTCAGGTACATTTTACTCTTCCTTTATAAAAACAGCTGCATTTTTTGTGCCTTTTGTCTTGGATAAGGTAAAACTCTTGAAATAAAAGTCTTTGAAGGTAAGTTCTGAGGTAACACACAGTGCTTGAATTTATGGGTGTGGGTGTGCTGGGACGGAGGAGGTAGTAGGCAGAATTGGTCCAGTCAGAAGGTAAACAATGAGAATAAAAGATGGTTATTAAGACAGAAAGATTTGGAGTACGCTTCCTATTGAATTCCTGCATATATATAGTATCTCATTTGATTAATGGCAGGGATTCTGTCTCTAATTTGGGAGTCATGCATGCAGAACTAAGGTAGCAGTTTTGTTCTACTACAAATTATATACTCTGTTTGGTAAAGGAGATTAAACTACAGATGTTTGAAGTACACTTGTAACAAAGAATGCACTTTGTTCTTTAAGAAAACATGCTGCTGATTGTAGTAATATCAGATGTTCTGTTTTAAAGCAGGGGGGTTCTATGGAAGCATATATTTCTGGTTCCTTTTGATCAGTTCAAAGAAATAACTGAAGCAGAAATACATTAAAAAAGGAAGTTGAGATGTGCATTTATGGACTTCCAGAATGATTTTTATTGTTATTTTTAGTTGTAGTGCTCTTTAACATGTTACTTGGGGATCTCCTGTTACAGATGGTACTGTGATCAGTAACTTTTGCACATAACAAGCAGCCTTCTTCTGAAAAGACTCAGTTTTGAAACAGGCTTGGCCTGCTCTCTGATAAGAGAGCTATGTCCAATCTAATGTTAGAATTAGCTTAGCTGGGGCTGCATGTTTTGATTACATATTGATACATAGGTTTCTCTTTCGTTGCAGGCACTAACTGATCAACAGCAGTTTGGCAAGGCTGATGAAATGTATGATAAATGCATTGATCTTGAGCCAGACAATGCCACTACGTATGTTCATAAAGGGTATGTATCGAGTTTGCAATCCTCTGGGTCAGGGGATATTGGTTGGCATATTTGGTTGAATCAATCCAAACTGAAGGTAGGTGTTGAGAAGTTTAGCCAGAAGTGGCTTTGCAAAAACAACTTGGTGCTGTTGTTTCTGCAGTTTCTCTTGACTGAACTGGAAATGAGATTGAAATTTCAGTAAAGTTTCATCAATAATCATTCAATTGAGTATCTGCTTGAAGTGTATCTGACTGTCACTTTAACCACATCTTGACGTCTGCCGTGCTCTAGCCTTAAATGTGATCTGGGTTATGGAGAATATGTGAAGTTCTAAATTTTCTCTTTTCTTTTCAGTTTACTTCAGCTTCAGTGGAAGCAAGATTTAGACAAAGGTTTAGAACTCATAAGCAAGGCCATTGAAATTGATAACAAATGTGATTTTGCATATGAAACCATGGGAACGATTGAAGTGCAAAGGTAATAATGAAGCGCAGTGTTAAGAATTCTGAGTTATTTTTGAAATACAGCAGTTCTTTAGCTTTTCCCACAGATCTTAAACCATTCTTAAAATCATCTCCAAGTGCAGTGAGAGGCCAGTTCTTAACTGTTGTCTTGATTACTGTTCTGTAACTCTTGGGCAAAGCCTTGCTTTTATTTGTGGCATCGTTTTGGTTTATGATCTGGCCAATTTCATACTTACTGGATAGCATGTAGATGAGTCTGTGTGTTTAAATACATCCCTTCTGCATTTAAAATTACTTAATTAATTCTCATTAGAATTCCTATGTATCTGATGTAGTCCTTAATCATACCTTAATGGACTATTTGTACTGAGAGTCCTGAACTGTACACCCAAACCTGATCGTTCGGTTTCAGAAAAGGTGCTGCAGAGATGCAAACATTAATTTGCTGTTCTTAATTGGATAATGTTTTGGTTTATTTCAGAGGTAATCTAGATAAAGCCATTGAAATGTTCAACAAAGCTATCAACCTGGCCAAATCTGAAATGGAGATGGCCCACCTCTACTCGCTCTGCGATGCTGCCTACGCCCAGACAGAAGTTGCAAAGAAGTATGGATTGAAACCACCAACACTGTAAAAACAAACACAAAACAAACAAGAGGAGGAAATGACTTCACTTTAGAAGTTGCCCACTTCAGTCAGCCCTAAAGACGCTGTTGCAAACCATGTTGAATGGTGGAACTTAGTTTTTTCCCGTTCGTGGTGTTGTCATTTGCTACATCTGTTAAATGTTTAGGTGTTGTGGGAATGGTTATTCAAGGGAGTATGCACTGTTGCATCTTGTTTCTTCTGCAACAAAAACCTTAAAGCATTTTAAGGGGAAAAAAAGTTGCAGAGGAACAAATGGAAGATACTTAGGCCATGCAAATAAAAACTTTATATTGGTTCATTTTGAGTGATTACGTTATGGGTGATTTTTGCTTTACTAAATAATGTTACAGCATGTTTTTTTTTCCCCTGTTGATTTTAAAGGTAATACTAGTCAGTGCTGTAAAATAGGTATCTCTTTTATATTAATTCTTGAGGGTTGATTTTAATTTTGCAAAAAGGAAAAAAAAAAAAAAACAATTTACAAACTGTTTGTTAACAGATTTTTTCTTTTTTAAAGCCAGTAGCTGTGAAGAGAATTCTGTAAATATATGCAAGCATGCACAATCTTCCCTTAAAGCCCTTCCTACCCTCTGCATTACAACTTAAAAATAGTCTTGTGGCAGCTATTAGGGAATTAATTTGATAGTCCTTATTCTCACCCCAGAAAGCCCAGGTGTCCATGTAGGAGAGCTAGTACAAAGGTTTTTTGGGGAAAGAGGCTAGGTAATGCTACTTTACTGCAGATTTTACTGGAAGAGATGCCATGTTCCTGTGCAGCAATTCTTACTTGAATGTCACAAGAAATTGTTCTGTAGGGTTCTGAGAGACTTTGAAGGATAGAAAGCACTGCTGGGAGTGGAGCTGCCAAGGTACGGTCATGCTTGCTTGTGGTCTCTCCATTGCTGAAATCTGAGAGTTCATACAACTGTCTAAATTCTCTTCTTTGGTCCCTAGAGACTTCTGTGTTCTGCTCTAATCCTTGTAATAGCCCTCTGCAGGATTAAGTGAGGTAAAGAACAAGGCATAGTCTAAACCCTCAAATCATGGATTCAGAACCTTTGCTAGTTCCCTTGTTCCTCAGGCCTTGTATTGTCTAAGATTACAGATACTGAACAAAAGAAGCAACTGTTTGGCAAATAGCAGGTTGGCAAGTTACTACTAGCATAAACACTCATCCTCTAACTATGAACTTCAGTGAGCACTTCTCTGCTGCTTTGGGTTGATCCATCTGATACTGTAGTCAGTCTGTGGTGCCTCTCCCTGGGCTGATGTGGCTGGATAAAACTCATGCAATTATGTAATTGATGTCGCTTAGTTTACCATACATTGATCTGTGCTTCTACCCGTTCTAAAATCATAGATTTGCTTGTGTTGAATTTTGTAATGTATTTCACCTCTTAAAGAAATGAACCAGACTGCCATCAAACTGTCTTGTTCTCTCCTTGTGGCACTCCATAGCAGCAGCTTGTGTTTTCAACTTGACCTACCTTTCTTCCAGCAAAAACAATTGAGAATGGAAATGGTGAACTGTAGATGTGGAGAGTTAATCTTTGTATTTTAGTTAGCTTACTGATGTGATCCGAAATCGTGGCGTTGGCATAGAATTGAAGGCACTGGAAGGTACTTGCAGCTGCTAAGGACATTGTGTGTAACAAGTGTCAAATGCCTTCTGGAACTTGCTATCTCTGCATCAGTTCCTGCATTTGTTCCCGAGAACAAAACTATGCCGTTCTGACCGAGTTGTCCTGTTCTCCCGAGGAGTTTTTATTTGCATGGCCTTATTTACATTGGCTTTTTCTCCTCTTCACCCTACTTTTACCCTGTTCCTGTCCCCACCAAACCAATTAAGGGAAAAAAGCATGTGCTCTCAAATACTAGCATTCCAAATCATCACAGACTCTTGCCTGTTCTTGAACTAGTTTGAAACTGCACTGAAAAGGATGCATTGTCTGTAATTTTTTTTGTAAATGACGTATCACCTGTAAACTGAAAAAAAAAAAATAAATATTACCTTCAAGTATCATTCTCTGACATGAATAAGAGCAGGTTTTGATGGAAGTGTTCTCTGCACTTATTTGGGTCGCTCCGCATCTAGGAAGAATTAATAATAACTGACTGCCTCTCATCTCTCACCTGAGCCTTGAAGAAAAGATGAGGAGACATGGAATGAAGGAACCTTATCTCTGATTGCTACCATCCCCTGCAGAGGTATGATCTGGAGGGCTGAAGCTTGCAGGGAGATAGAGCTGGGAATCTGAGTAGCTGACACCCTCTTCATACGCGTGTGCAGTTAGATCCTGCTCAGGCTCCTCCAGGGAAAGGGAATTCATTTCTTTATTGGCTGATGTGTGAGGGTTTGTTTTAGGCCAGGTATACATGTGAACTTGCCTTGAAATGTTTTTTTTTGTTGTTTGTTTGTTTTGTTTGTTTTTTTAAATAGGGGTTGAGGGCTACTGTTGAAACAATTATTGCTGCTATTTAAAGAAAAAAAACACAGTGAAGTCATGTAGGAAGTTGGTAATGAAGGTCTGGATAGACACTGTGTATGGTAGAACCTATGGGAAGTTGGTTCTTTGCATAGTTGTTATGCATCTTAATTCTGATCACATAATTCCTGCTGTTTGTGTTAAGATGCAGAGGTTAGTTTGCCAAAATAGAGATTAAAAGCTGTGCCTTGATTTAGTAGGATCTACTTTCACAGCCATTTCAGAGCTGTTACTGGCTAGTTTTATATGTTTAACAGAATATCAGTGCACATGCAAAAAGTGGATACTTTAAAGTGCCTGTCTCCTGCTAACATAGAATTGAGTACTGGCTGCTTTAGCTACCTAGCTGAGAACCAGTTGTGTACATTTTGCTTGCAAAACCCTCTCAAGTTCACAGTCCATTGGTATCATTTCTGAGTGACTGAGTAAATTTTCCTGGAGATTCCCAATGCAGCCTCCTAGGACAAGGTACTTACAACTCGACCTGACAAATAAGGCTGAGCTCACATCACCTCTTCAGCTTCGTTCACCAAAGTGGGCCACTACACATTTTCACTTGTTCTGTCCATTTGAAATTCCAGGGGGAGGATCATCCATGCCACAGATTTTGTTTTATTGCCTGTTTCAGACTGGATCTTACATCACCGCATTGAAGTGGTTAGCTGTTGAGAGACCTGCATTTCTTTTATCCTCCAAAGATGAGTGCTCCATTTTGCTGTATATTAGTATAGTGTAGGGGTGGTAGGAAAGATGTGGTAGTTCAGAAGGATATATAATAGCTGGTGTGGTTTAGAAGTCAGACCCCTGTGATGGCCTTTCAGTAGTGTTGATTGTTATGTATGTGACAGGCACCAATTTAATGCAGTAAATCTGACTCAATGTTAATTTTTCTATTTTTCAACAAATAAATTTTCATTTCACCTTACGCTCCATGGCGTGTTTCTTAAGAGTTCCATTATGGTGTGTAGACCAAAGTGCTGAGAAAGCAAAGGCACAGAAGGCTGCTGGAATAGATAATGCCATTGAATGGAACGATGGACCTGCCTTTTAGGGGAAAGACTTCTTAGGGTTAACTTAATGTAACCATTAATTCCCCTGTAGGTGGCTGGGGCCTCTGAACAACGCAGCTGACTAACCCCAGAGAAGTCAAAGGAACATCAGAAAAAGAGGATAGCTGTGGGAGAAGGATGGCTGAAGAAGGAACAGGTAAGATGGTTTGGGGCACAAGTAGCTAGATAGAACAAGACAAAAGCTTTCAGCTGTCCTCTTCTGTAATCCGAAATCTCCTTTTGCCTGTCAATCATCCTTTGTGTTGGGGTAAACTAAAAGCACAGAGGTAAAGCATGAATAGTCATATATGCTTCTTTTTGCTTCCCACTTAAAACATTTGCCATCAGCAAATACTTTGCTTTTTCATTAGAAAGGGAACCACTAAGGTGTCCTCCTGAGAAAAAATCTCTTACAAAGTGCAAGACTGCCTTTAAGTTCTTCAAAGCCATCTTTAACCAGTTTGCTGGTCTCTTAAGCAAGAGCAATTCAATGGGGAACATGTCCACACAGCTGGAGGGAGCTGGCCTTTGGTAGCAGTAATGCTTGTAAATGTTTAGTGATACAGGTATCTGCATTCTGTGACACTGTGGACAGAAAGGCAACCAATTTTCCTACCGTTTTGATTGACCCCTCAGCCTTTTCAATAGAACACAGCAAGAAAGCGAAACTAAAACCAATTCAGACATTACACTCAGGAAGCAGTGATAGAGCAAGGGTGTGGTGACAAGTGAGCTTCTTTGACAGAACAGTAACATCACTTCAGCAATAAGCAGGAATTGTATTAAGAATTTAATACAGATATTCCAGCCAGGATCTGTTAACAGATTCTTGCATAGTAATGATTCTGTTTGACTGCTAATCACATTGTCTTTAAGTAGTTCCGAGTGGAATTTGGCCTATTTTGCTTAATGTATTAAACTTTAAGCTTGCCTGGTTTGAAGTTGGGCATTTAAGAAACTCAGAGTCATTTAGGTACTGATGTGGAAGTCATACGTGTAGAGCCCCTGGTAATTCAGAGAAAAGTTCATAATACTAAAGCTGACTTCAGAGGATTTCCAGAGAGAACATAATTCCCACCTCTCTACATCCTAAAACAAAACCTCAGAAACTTAAGAGCAAAACAAAAGTATCTAAATGCAGTAATGACTAAAAAGATTAACTGCTACTTAGTTGATTTCACCTCCAGCTTCATCCTAGCTGTTTAATACTGTAAATTAAAGTTGTACTTCAGTCAATTTTAGAATTATACCAGTAAGTCATTTTGCTCCTAATCAGTTATCACGGTAGCCTGTGGAGCAACCAGTAAGGGAATCCTGAAGATGGAAGCAGCAGCTACTGTGCTATTAGAACCTTTCCTGTTCACCCAGCTTCACTTTTTCATCTCTATGCTGTAGAGATCATGACGCTTCTGGCTTAAAATGGGAATTTGTTGACGGATTTCTGCAAGTTTCTTCAAATCTGAAGGAGAAAGAAAGAGCTATTAGAACAGTGATCAAAAAGGACTTGCTGATGCAAGGCAGGAAGAGTGCTGCTTTCATGGTGATTGAGCATAGGGCACAGCAACTGGGCAACTAGGAAAGAAGCCTCAGCTTTGTTCTTTCCTAAGGTAGTAGCTTCCTCATAGGTAAAGAAGCAGGAATAGTCCAGTCCTGCTGCTGCTTGTTCTTTCCTCTAGTAAAGGTTGAGAAGGGATGACAACACTGCTTCAGCTGGAACTGGGTGAATAAGGCCAGACAGAAAAAAAACCAAACCAACAACCTGTCTCTTTAGTCTTATGCAGGACAAAAACCTTTGCTTACCGATATCTGAGTAGATAACTGTTTCCTCAGCCCCAGCTTTGGCTATGACTTCACCCCTGCAACACGAAGCACATTTGTTCACAGCATTAACACAATCTCAAGGCATCAGATCAGCTGCTGCTGTTTGTATAAAAGGGAGTTCCTACCCTTGATGTCCACAGCTGTAGACACAGGGCTGTCCTAAAAACAGCATCATAATTCTTAACTGTGTGATAGAAATAGCTTCTATGCTTTACACGTGGCACATTTTAAGTGTGGCATATACACATACTTAATATAGGCACATTTCCAAAGATCAAAAATAAGAGCACTTAAGAGAACTAGAATGTGAACATGGAATATACCTCAAGGGGAAGGAAGCAATTTCACCAGGAAGAACCATCGACAGCAAAGATTGGCACTTTCTCCTTTTAGATCCCATCAGCTTTTAATAGGAGCATACATTTGAAGAGTAATATCAGTGGAATGATTTATTTGGAAGAAAGGTAACTGTCAGAAAACTTTGTTTACCCAATTACCCATGTGCGAGGGGAAGAGTAATTGCTGCTTAAGTGAAGTGAGGTCTCATCTAGTTGAAGACATCCTTGTTCTTTCTTAGGTCAAACTGATGTTCTTTGAGCAAATTAAATGCTTCTATAAAAAGTTAAGATGGCTTTGTTCTACACAATTACCCCCATACATAGTACATAAAGCAAGTTGAAAAGGGCAGCAGCTTAATTCGTGCTTAATACTGCTAAACTGGCTATTGTGCTTCCTACTGGAACGTGTGCTGCTAAACCAGTTTTAGTTTAAAGCTGGTTGGCTGAAAAACAAAAAGAAAAGGATGATTTTTTTCTTTTTAAGAGTAATTGGAAATGTGGGACTGAAGTGAGACTCAAATAAAACATTCAATAATTTTGTTGGGTTTTTTTCCTGAACTCACCATGGATTTACTACGGTGCTGTGTCCCCAGGCAACGTAGGATGCTTTTTCATCTCTAGCAGGAGATACAGTAGCTACGTAGACTTGATTATCCACAGCTCTGTGTTCACAAAAAGACAGGGGAAAGGAGGGAAGAAAATGAGTAGTCTTTTCCCCTCCCCTCCTTTCCCCTATGCCACCAATTAACCAAGCAGAGTCAGAATTCCTGCAGAAGGATGGGCTGTCCAGCCTCCTGTAGGCTTTTCAAAATCATAAAGGACACAAAGTTTAGAGGCAGAAGTGGAAGGAGTCTTTGCTGCCTGCCCCAGAGTTAGTGGACAGAAAGAATTACGTTAGTTTAGCATGCAGCACAACTGATGGAGGCAGACCAGGTGATTAATACTGCCTATTTGGGAGACTCAGGATCTATTTCTGTCTGCATTTAAAGCAGTTCTGACATCATTGTTCCTGTCTGTTGGCCATTCTGTGTAGAAATTTCTTTGTGAACAGTGCTCGCAAAGCCATGGGGAAAAGGTCTTTGTGAGGGCACAGCTGCAGTGGGAAGAACAGGAGTGAAGGATAAGCAGTTTCTGCTTCTCTCCCTCCCAGCACAGTCATTTTGTCCCATGAGGGACTGTGAAGTTCTGACAGCATAGGGCTCCTGCAACAGAAACAGTTGTTTCACACCCAAACTCCCTGCTCAGTTACTTTGTTCTTACCGGCCCCTTTGTAGCAATTCCCAATGAGCTGGTCCCGTTGTCATATTAAAAGCCCCTGGATATATCAGCAGCTGACAACCTTTGTTAAAACAAAAGCAAAACCCAGCCATCATTAAGGAGAAGAGGGTTTAACCTACGGTGACTGCACATAGAAGCTTGAGGTCAGCTTTGTTGGTTGTTTTTTTTTTTTGTTTTTGTTTTTTGTTTTGTTTTGTTTTGTTGGTTTTTTTTTTGTTTTTCCCCTGACTTTTGCCAGGAAACAAACAGAGCCCATCGGTGCATCACACAGATGATTACACCAACAAAGTGCTACAATACATTGCAATTGTGTGGGGCCACATACATCTCCATGTAGCAGAAAATGACTGTTACTTTACTCAAGGAGAGTAGATATTCATTTCAATAGCAAAATCCTGTCCATAAGCTGCAGCTTGTGTTAATGGACAAGGAACACACAGGGAATTCTTGTTACATTACATGCAGCCTCTTTAGTTCAGGCCTTAGGGCTAAGCATGACCCAGCCTTACCTTTCTGTCCGTAGATTTGAGCCAGCTCAGCAAATCTGATGTCATAGCAGATGCCCAGGCCCACTTTACAGTATGCTGTTCTCAAAACACCAGAAATAACAGCTGTATTACTGTCACATGCACAGAAAAGAGGTATTTGTCTCTGATTAGCTGCAAGCTTTTCAGTGGTAAAGAAAGCACTCCTTGTGCTCCATGGACCAAAGCTACAGTGGCATACTTTCTTAGAGTGTGCACATTACCAGGAGGAGAGAGTCAGTGCGAGTCAAGACTCTTAGGAGATCTAAGTTAAAGGTCCGTGTTGATTTCTGAAGATGGGATATGGGGGTAGCAGGCTTGTTTGAATCTGATGTAGTTGATTCAAGGATGTTGGGATAGGATTTACAGTTGATTGCCTTCATTACAATACCATCCTCACATGAAACAATGTGCCGAAGGCTTGTCTTCTACTCACGAGTATCAAACATGGAGAAACTATCCCCTGGACTCAGTGTTTCAGACTCCTTGAACTGTATCTTCCCAGGAACATTAATGTCAAACAAATGAATCTGTAATTACAATATTATTAATAACAATTTATCCACTTGGTGTTGGAGCCTTTTCCTATGTGACACGTATGCTAGTCACTGTAATCTGGATTATTCTTTTAGCAAGATCCCAACTAAATATTGCTGAAGATTACAAGAGCTTCTAAAGATGATTTAAAGCAGTTTTCTTCTTTACAGAAACATACATGTCTGAAGTTATTTGGGGAAACAGCAACAAAAAAACAACTGAGCACACAAAACCTGTAACTTAAGTTCTGCTTATCAAATGTCATTTTTCTCAACACTGCAAATACTGGCCACCTGGATGAGAAACATAACAACGATTCTCTACCATCTTACCTTCCTGTGCTTTGCCACTATAGCACCATCAGGACCAAAGACAGCACAAGTATTATACAGCTTTCCACCATCCTCTTCTGGAATGGATCCTTTAGAAAGTAGAGAACAAAGGTTTACCCACCCCGCTGTATTCTACAGAGTTTTGATTCAGTTGCACCAGTAGACATTGCCCATTCACCCCTCAATAGAAGCAGTCACTAGGAATAAGCTACCTCCAACAAGATAGATGCTGCACTCCTTTGCAACTTCTGAGAGCTTCTGTGTCGATTCTCCAGGGATCTTCTCTGCATATTCCTTGAAGTTTTGGGTTCCATAAGGAGAATTAAAGCATTCCTAGAATGACAAAAGAATTAAGTTCAAATCTCAAAACCCTGGAATTCTTTTGCTGATCATCACAGCACGTTTTCTTCATTTTTAAAAGTCATGTAGCACTTTTAAAGATTACTTTTTTTTTTTTTTTTTTTTTTTTTTTTTTGCTAAGACAATCACTTAAGACACCACTTCCCCACAGATGAACTGTACCCTTTGTCCTAGAGGACTCTCATTCATTTAAAATTTGTTGTCCCTCAGACTGAGGCATGTAATCTTTAGATGCTAATATTAACAGTGCTCTGTGTGGTACTCAAGAGGCCCACAGCAGTCACTTTCACTTGGCCTTATGTTTCCCAGCTCCAGGAGGATGCGAGACACACCTCCCTCTGCAACCTCTGTCTCCTTCTAAGGGAGTTACAGCTGAAGGCCACAGATGGGATATCTAATAGCAGAGGCGATAGAACTGAACCAAAATTAGATGGAAATTGTTTTGGCTGCATATATATGACACTGGGCCAGCAGAGCTGGCCAATCCATAGCACACAATTTGCAGGTCCAAGGAGGGAAGCAAGTCTCTGCAGACTGTCAGATCTGCTTCCTGGGCTTTTGAAATCTGGACAGCACTTCAAGGAAATGAAAGCACTGCCAGCTGCCCCCACCTTCATCTTGCTGCTTTTGCAAGGCAGTGCAAGTGACACTGAAACCACAGACTCAGGAGAACAGGTGAAGATCTGTATGAGCTGCAGCAGCTCATGGGGCTGTGCTAGAACAGAACTGCAGATTGCACAAATCATCTCGTCCCCTGCTCTCCAGATTGGGAAGAATGCGGGGACAGACCTTTGAATGGCTTTCAATCACATTCCAGATTAAAATGGATTCTGCTGTTATTATTCCTTTATCCATAAGTATTACAAAGCATTTTTCTTCCACATTTTTCTAGGTTCAGAAATGAAAAACACATGAAGACCAACACCACAAAAGAAATGGTCAATAAATTGTGAAAAGCTGTAGGCTGTATGCTTGGTGCATATTACTTCTTTATGTAGTGTGACTTAAAAAACAAGGTGGAGGTGAGAATATTTCACCTCTTGGTGTTAGTACAAAGTTTACCTTCCCAAACAGAAAGTGCTTTTGTTTGAGAGGTTTTACTCTATGGACAGAAATTACTATTTGTTTCTACACACGACAAAAGTAACAAATAATAGATAAGTAGGAGGCCCAGACAGAGCAATCAAAGGTCATTTTTGCAATAAAAGAGCTGTGTTAGCACAAAAAGGAAGGGAAGGTTGCTTAATATTTTGCCTGTGAGAGCGGGAGGGAGAAACATTCTTTGTGTAAAGCATTCAGACCAAAAGTTCACCCAGAAAAGAACTTTGCCCTCCTAAGTCAGATGCTGCAGGGCACAGTACGTGTACCTCCAGGTATGCTGGGAAGATCACCTCACTGACACAGAGAAACAGATATGAAGTCCAAAAAGGAAATCAAAAGCGATCAAAAATGCTGTCATTGAGTTTCCACACAAGAATGTTTTTCCCTTCTGTAGCCTCCTACAGCATCCACGCATAGAATCACAGAATGGCCTGGGTTGAAAAGGACCACAATGATCATCTGGTTTCAACCCCCCTGCTATGTGCAGGGTCGCCAACCAGCAGCCCAGGCTGCCCAGAGCCACATCCAGCCTGGCCTTGAATGCCTCCAGGGATGGGGCATCCACAGCCTCCTTGGGCAACCTGTTCAGTGCGTCACCACCTCTGTGTGAAAAACTTCCTCCTGATATCTAACCTAAACCTCCCAGTCTCAGTTAAATTATCCAAGCATATCCAGTGAGAAACAGGAATAGATAATGCATGGTTAACAGTAAATAGAGGTTTGCCAAGAGTATGAGACATAGGCATTTTGAATCACAATGCAAAATTATGTTAAAAACACTTATTTAATTATGTAAACAATGATCTTTACTCACGGGCAGAGCCACAACTTTTGCTCCTTTGGCTGATGCTTCCCTTATCAGCCCACAGGCTCGCTGAAGGTTATCTGACTTAACAGCAGATACATGAAGCTGAATCAGTGCCAGGCGGAAGTCTATTGGCAGAAAAGAAGAAATTACCCAGCAGAATTCCCCCAGGTAAAACTTCATAACTTTAATTCATGAATGAGTGTGTAACGGAATAAATCTGCCCGCATGTGGACACAGCACAAACCACTTCTAATGGCTCTGCAGTGGCTGCGTGACTCTGGAAATGGCCTCCTAGTGCAGGGAGGACCGCAACGATCATCTGGTTCCAACCCCCCTACTACGTGCAGGGTCGCCAACCACCACACCGGGCCGCCCAGAGCCACATCCAGCCTGGCCTTGAATGCGTCTAGCATTCCATTTCCAGCAGCAGGTGGTAGGGCAGGTTGTAGGACAGTACCCGCGGCCAGGTGTAGCCAACCGGGAACAAAGCGCTGCAGGCCCGCGGCAGCTCTGCGGTCATCTCCGTGACGGAGCCGGTGCCAGCCTTGCCGAGCCGCCCTTTACAGCAGCCATTAGTAGGTCACACCCGCAGCGCCCCGGCCCGCCCGAGCAGCGCCGCGTGGCCAGGAAGCGCCCTTCCAATCGACCCGCCGCGCCGGCGCCGCCACTCACTGGCCATGGCTCCGCGCACCACCTGCATCTCCGCGCTCCGCCCCGGCCGGGCGCATGCGCCCAGAGCAGCGCAAGGGCTGCTGGGAAATGTAGTCCCGGAGTGTGCCTACGGCTCAGGGCGGAGCAGCAGCGCACGAGTAGACAAGTGACCAAGCGGAAGGGCTCGGCTCAGCTCCGCTCCTCTCTCTCAGCAGTGCAGCTCATTACAAGTAATCAGATTCTTCAAGACATCGCTGTATAGTTCACCTGCACATGACATAATTCCTAATTCTCCCCTAATTATGTTTTCTATTTTATTTCTCCTGTTCGCACTCTCATGGCTAAGAAATGTGCTGTATGTTCTCAACATTTTGTCAGTGCAATATAAGCGTGTGATGCTGAGATGGGTGGAATTTACAGATACCTCCTCTGTGATCTGGTCATTTGTTATCTCGACCTTTTGGGAAAGCTGACCACAGTTCACCCAAAAGTATTTAATCCAATCAGTCAAAATTCCAGCATACTTACATTAACATGCTACTGACAGCAGCTCCCCGTGATCCACAACCAACCACCTCTTCTGCAAACGACAGGCTGACTTCCACTCATAGCTCCCATTTACAGCATGCCTCTAAGAAAACCTGTTAACTGATTCAATGAATCCTACACTGTGCTGACAGAAGTTATGTTCAAATTGTACTGGTTTATTTACATCCGTCGTTTATAAACAGTAACACAAACATCTTTACATGAAAAAAATCTCATTGCTGAAGTAGGCACGGAGTCGGAGACTCTTCAGGATATTTTCAGAAGGGAGGAGGAAGAAGAAAATGTAATACAACAGCTGCTGGGCAAAACTATAAATACACAAGAGTTGGCCCAGGTGCAATTTCATGCAAATATCTTTAACCGTTCAAGTTCTAATGGTGTTTACTCAGATAGTAAGGAAAAAAAAAAGGAATTAGTTCCAGAATTAAGGTGCCCTAGCTTGATTCCTAGTAAAATAACTTAGAATAACTGGCTTTTATAAAGGTCAGTTTATTTTTTCTCCCGATGATGTACCAGTTCACAGGTTTTGACTCACTCAGAAAACTTCACACAGCAAAACTAACCCCTAACTTTTTGACTTCACAATTTTTGGTAATTTCCACAAAGTTGTCTACAAAGGTACTTTGCCTCAGCCATAAGGACATTCCTGTACTGGGCTTCCTAGCAAGAGAACCATTCCTTTACCACGAAGAAGGCCAGAAATGCACTATTACACAGCTGCCTTCTCTCAAACATTCACCAGCTTACAGTTATTAAAGGAGTATAAACAAATGTTGAACCAATGAAGGTGGCATTTATTGCAAGCATTTATTGCAAGTGCAAGCCACAGCACAGGAAATCTCTTCACTTTAGTTGTATGCATTAATTTTCTAGCCACACCTTCAATCTTCAACACTCCTTTAGTCGACATAAACTCAATTCTGTGCTGAACTGAAGGCTTTTAAAAGCCTAACTCATATTTTAGACATTTTACTTGACAGGAGCCAGATTGCTGGTTTTCCACTGCCATACGTATTTCAATGCGTGCACTCACCCTCACATGAGAAGCAATTTCAACCTATCAAATGTAAAATTTAGCATAATTAATGAAATCACAACCCTGTAGGAAAGGCTTATTGCGCATGGTTCGTTTTGGTATTTAAAGATACCCTTATGTTCCATTCCAATTATTTAACTTCGTAGTGGAGAGGACTGCTAAAATGTTAATTTTTCCAAATTATTGGCATTTCTTCCCCTTCATCTGCAGCCCAAGCTGCACTTGCCCATTTCTAACTGAAAGGAAGCACTATTCCTAAGATTTTATCTGCTCTGCTTACAAAGCTAAGTTTTTAATAGTACAAGTTATTACCCAAAAGGCAAAAATCAAATTTATAGACTGTAGGCTATGGAGATATTTTGCTTTCAAATATCAGTCATTTAAAGCCATCCTGTCTTCTACTGCTTCTCCACTTTGCTTTGTTCTTTTAACATACTCGTATGAACCCAGCAGCACGCCCTCTTATAAATGTGCACATCACTCCTATGAAAGGTGCATCGCAGTGAAACAAACTGACCTTTATAATACGTACTTCTACAAAATAAAAGAAATTAAAAATCTTGTTCAGAAATTGGTAATAATTTACCCTATCTTAAGCCTGCTATCCAGGCACTCCCGTCAGTAAACTGAAAAAACACAAAGTTAGTATTTGATTGGGAAACCATCAGCTCATGTCCACATACAGTATCTTTGTTACTTCTTCTTTATAAACTCTTTTCTACAACGTCTTTAGTTATTAACTCTCCAAGGCATCCAATACTTTCATGATCTGTTGTTTTATGGCTTTGGTTGCATCACCTGCATTTGGAATCAGATACCTTAAAAAAAAAAAAAAGCCATCATTAATTCACTAGAAAACTTTCAAGCATCAACTGAAATTCTTTCTTTCTTTCATTTTTCTTTCTTGCACAGATTAAGGGCAAAGAGAAGGGGACGCTATTAAAATGAAGACCTACTGAGGAACTAACATTTATTTTTCACAAAACATTTTCTGCATGTGAAATTTTATCTGTTCAGTATTTCACAAACCATTCTAGAAAGAAAAAATTCTTTATTAATTAACAATGGCATAGATTGATTGCTGCAGGTACCAATGTCTGACACATGTATGTCAGTCCTTGGTTTTCTTGCTTTTTATTCCTATGGATATCTCCAGGTAATTTAAGTTGCCATCTTCTCTTTTGTATTTGCTCCAGTCAGTAAGCTGGTGAGGAAGTAATTCAACAAGCAGCACAGCTTTCTGCAATATGTTTAACTTACCTGTGTTGGACATAATACCAAACTCATTTTACCCTAAGCAGCCAGCAGGTACAGACAAACTTTCCTGGTGAAGCAGGAAAGTCATCTCCCACTTATTCTGAAAACAGAGCGCTTGCTGCACACCATTTGCAGCAAGGAAAAGGATGAGGAAATGACCAACTGATGTCAGCAGCTTTGTTAAAGCAGTGTCAAGAAACAGGAGGCTTTGCTGATGAAAGCAAACAAACCAACATCTCCCTGGCATCTTCTCCAGGATTAAATATTTCAGTGCTAATCATGGCAGTGTCTAATTTTCAGAACTTAGGTTTTCAGGAGTTTGGAGTTTGAGATCAGACCCTTATACAAGATACAGGAAAAAGGGAATGTCTCAAAAAGCATAGCACAGAAGGAGGACCTCTCCTTTAAATCCCACCCTTCAGAAAGCTGTACTTCAGGAAGCAGATACATGAAATGAAGGACAACTAAGGCATTACAGCAAGAAAACTCTCATATTCATCTCACCCTCAGCAACAGTCACTGGGGATCCTGGAGTTCCCCCAGCTTGTTCTCCTTACTTTTTCACTCTACTGGCAGATATTCTTTCTAGCTCTTATCTGAATATCTGCTCCTAAACAAAATCTATTACTTTTTAACTCGGTTTTGGGAATTACAGCACACATCTGATTTCCAGCTGACAGCATCCTGTGTATCATTGCTACTAATACTGGTAGCTACTAAGAGGGCTTACCTTTCAACTGCCAAAATTTCTATGCCTGAAGTATTGCTATTTCCATATTTAAAGGTGATCAGTTCTGGGTGCTTCTTCTTGGATGTGATTTTAACTACAGAGTTGAGTGCCTGTCGAGACTGTATGTAAGCCAGCCCCTTCCGCGATGGAATCTCCCTCAAACAATACATGTGGGTTGCCGTTACTAGGAGGTGACTTGAAAGGAAAGAAAGAAAGCAATCACATTTTTTGTTTCACTAAAAATCAGCTACTTACAAAGCTAAATTTTACAAACAAGTTACACAGAGAACTAGGTAGAACCGTTTGCAAATCTAAGGAACGATTTGGTACTTCTGTCAATTGGGTATGTCTACAAAATACTTCCAATTTTCCCAGAGTACTGCATCATAACCATTTTTAAAAACAAGCATGGCAGCCTCGTAACATACATAATCAGATTGAGCAGTTTGCATCATCACCTCATCACAAACGTTATGAGTGCTGTCAGTATCAAAAACCACCTGGAACAAGTCAGGTCATGCAGTGTGGGGAAAATGTCTCCAGCTTTTGTCTTCCATCCTTCAGTCATATTCCAATGCCATCTCTTCATCTACAGAGTTGCAACTCTACATGTGAAGCATCAGACCTACGCCATGACTGACTGTCGCTATGCAAGCACTAATGTGGAACTGCTCACTTGCCCGCTCAGTTCAAAACCCACTTTTGGCTTCTTCCCAGAAGCAATGCATGTGTGTGACCATGTGCAAGCTGAGTGACAGATCACTCCACGTTTCATATGGCATATAATCTTATGCTTCCATTTGGTTTATGTTAACAAAAAATAAAAGACATTAACAGACCGTGATGAAAGAGAACGATCATCGTAATTTTCTGTTATCCACATTCAGTAGGATTTGTACTCTTTAGGGAAGCTAAAATGCAGTAAGCATAGAATTCCAGAATGGCTTGGGTTGGAAGAGACCTTAAAGCCCACCCAGTTCCAACCCCCTGCCTTGTGCAGGGCTGCTAACCACCAGCTTAGGCTGCCCAGGACCTCATCCAACTTGGCCTTGAACACCTTCAGGAATGGGGCACCACAGCTTCTCTGGGCAGCTGTGCCAGGGCCTCACCACTCTCTGAGTAAGGAATTTCTGCCTAACATCTAACCTAAATCTCCCTAAAGCATCATTTTCTGCTCTTGCAGGTTAAACAAGGTCACTGAATCTTAGGGGCAAGATGAGCAAACAGTACAAGGCAGAGAGCTAGATAAGAAAAAACTGAATGACTGATACTCAGGTCTACCTGGTTTTGAAAGCAAGCCTATGTATACTAAGCACATTTTTCTTCCTTTCTTGTTTTACAAAGTAAACCTTCATACTATGTTTTGTACATAATTAACACTGAAAACACAAGAATGGAAATATAGTGGTAATATTTTGTTCTTATGTTGCTTCACATCTTCATTTTCTGATATAGTATTAAGAACAGTTTAACTGCTTGAGCATATTTTTAGAAGTGTATTGAGACAGACATGTTCATTAAGTTTAGGACTAATTCCAC